TCCTGGTTTCACGTCTTTCACACATGACAAGTTGTGTCTCCAGTGGACCCTGAGCCTGACCCGACATCAGTTTCCAGACACCTATCTGGACCTGCAGCAGGTGGAAGTTCCAGAAGCCAAGGCCCTGTCTACGCTTGACACATTTGCTATCGGTGTCACAGCAGCTGGTCCCACAGCCGTTCCAGTGGGACCCACCCCTTTGCATTTTGCATCCTTGCAGGAAAGCTTTGAAGCCTACACTTGCACTACACCTTTGACAGTGCACAGCAACCCCTCTTATGTTCCAGCTTTGTTCCCATTTCATTCCTGTGTGTTCCAGAACTATTCCAGCTTTGTTCCTGAACAATAAATTTTGCAACCAGCCAGCCGACACAAAACTCTTTATGCCAGCAAGAGATTCCAGTGATAGTGACAGTGACCCTAGTGAATATTTTTGGGTTTCATTTTGTTGTACTCATTTTTATGTTGATGTATATGAGCAGGACTATCAAAAAGAATATTTAATTATATTTGTATGTGATTCCCAAACAAATTTGGTGTATGAAAAGTTTATTGGGCCAAAATATATACTGTCCCCAATTTACCAGAGTGTGGGTGGTAGAAGAAAGTAATAGCACTTTATTTCTCCATGGTACCCTTCCTTACCCTACATATCCAGAGGTATCTGACCGGGTGGGAACATTATTACAGTGGGTTTGTGCAGATTGTTTTTAGATGTAGTTTCAGTTTTAAGTTTGAAGGAAACCGTAAGTCGAAGATGATAAGGGGGGATATGTTGTTTTGTAATGGTTTATTTGACATGCTTTGCTACTGGACTGGAACATCGATATAGATCTAACATATGAAAAAGTGGGCCAATTCAATGATCATTAACCGAACCTTATAGTGTATGCAAGCAAAAAGATCTGTTAGGGCCAAATGGGGGTGTACCATCAAACTCAGTTTATCTTCACAGGGACTTGCAATGCCAGCATTCCAGTTTATGTAATCATAGTCAAGCATATTCAGCACCAATTGCAACCATGTTCAGAAAACCATTTTGTCTAAGGGGGAGCCTTTAAAGTGCTCCAAAGAATAATGGTGTGTGTGTGTGTGTGTTCAAGAAGGATCAATGGATAGAGATATACCATATGAGAAGTTTTGCTAAATGTTGAAATGTATGACTTTATGTGATAAGGCTATGTTTATGTCCATAACCCAACAAAAGAAAGAAGTTAATGTCATTCATGTGAATGCCAATTTTTAGAATATTTTCCATTTGCAATAAGAATGCTTTCAATGTTCCTGGGATCCCAGATCACTGCAGACTGTGACAGCAGCCAAGAAATTAAAAGACGCCTGCTCCTTGGGAGGAAAGCGATGGCGAACCTAAACAGCATGATAAAAAGTAGAGACATCACCCTGCCAACAAAAGTCCGCATGGTCAAAGCAATGGTATTCCCAGTAGTCATGTATGGCTGTGAGAGTTGGACTATAAGGAAGGCCGAGCGCCGAAGAATAGATTCTTTTGAACTATGGTGCTGGAGGAGACTCTTGAGAGTCCCTTGGACTGCAAGAAGAACAAATCAGTCAATCCTCAAAGAAATCAACCCTGACTGTTCCCTGGAAGGCCAGATAATGAAACTGAAGCTCAAATACTTTGGCCACCAAATGAGAAGGGAGCACTCACTGGAGAAGACCCTGATGCTGGGAAAGATTGAAGGTCAAAGAAGACGGGGACGGCAAAGGATGAGATGGTTAGACAGTGTCATAGATGCAACGAACATGAAATTGAGCAAACTTCAGAGGACGGCGGAAGACAGGAAGGCCTGGCGGGATCTGGTCCATGGGGTCACGAAGAGTCGGACTCGACTGTGCGACTGAACAACAACAACAACAACAACAATGTAAACATGCCCTGTTTTTGTTTGATTTTTTTTAGATTTTGTTTTCTTAGATTTTGTTTTTGTATTTAATGTCTTCCTTTTGGTTTGTCTTGTTGCTAGGCGTTGTTCCCATAATCTATTCCCTAAAAAAATCACATCATGATGTACCCACTGTCACATAGCAATTGACAGTGGTAGCAGTGAGCCTGTATTTGGTCACTGTACCAAAGGGGGGACTTGTGGTATGAATGGGAATATAAAGATTTTTTATATAGGTTTTTTTCTTCTTGATTGTTCAAATTCATATTTTTTCCTGGTTTTATGGATTTCTCTTTTAAGTAATATTTTATTATAATGTTAGAAAGGCCTGTTATATAGAAGGCTTTCGTCTTCTAGGTCTGATATTGTTAGTAGACAACATAATAGGTATAAAGTTCATGATTCTGTAGTTCTTAAGGGCAAAACCTTGCAATGTCTGGGTCAGGGAAGATTTTAGTCTCGTATCATTAAAAATACTTTTGTTTGGGATATGAAGAATCCTTGCCCATTATCATTTAGGTTAGGTTAAGTAAACACTTAGGTTTTACGTAGATTTGACGTAGATATATGTTTCTTTACATCTGACAAATCAGAGGACTATTACTCAAATTACCATTGTCTTTTATAACCAATTATGCTTCTTAAATATTGTTTTCTTGATGATGTCAGTCCATGTATAAAATATCATGTATTTCCTGAATATGTTCAGAATATGTTCAAGAAGAAGAAGATAAAGAAGAAAGATGTCCATTTTTGATGAGTTATTTGGTCCAATTGTTTTCCTGTTAATTGAAGCATATCTCCTGAATATGTTGAGAATAAAGTAGTAAATTTTGGATGGACTATTTGGTCCAATTGTTTTTCTGTTTTGAAATAAAACATAGATCTTCCTCCTCATTTGACTTCATTTTTGACATGGAATCTAATATGTACAACAAGGTCAGACGGGGAGATGGGCAGGTTCTCAGCTACAGCAGAATCTGGTGAAGATCCTGCAGGAGATTTAGGGCGTTCCGAAGCTTCGGTGCCAGAATCTGAGTCGGACGATTCAGGTGGAGATGCCAGCATCGGAAGCGAAGGCACATTCGGTACATCTGCATGAGCGCCCGACATCGGCACAGTTTGTGTCAGGACAGCAGGCTGGAGAGGGGGAGATCGAGGATGCTCCTCAGGCGGCTTGGAAACAGTTGTCGATGGTTTGGATCTCCGCTGGGGAGAGCGGGAATGACGTGACCTATGGTCCCAGTCTGACTGTGGACCCGGCGTCATCCATGGCATTGATGTCGACATCGGGTATGACAAGAACCAAAATGGCATATGCTGTCTCTGGTCCCAAGGAGGCGGAAGAGGGGGCTCAAAGTACGTCAGAGAATGCGGTCTCAACTCTCCCCTGGGTGAGTAAGACAGCCTCGGTCTGGAGTGATTGGAGTCCTCAGCCCGATACCGATACCCTCCGGGTCGAGGGGACCTGGATCGGCGTCCTCCACACCTGGGGGAACTGGATCGATGTTCTTCACAGGAAGGGTAGGGGGAACCCTTCATAGAACGGCCTCCTGACCACGATACCACCGATGGCAACCAATTTCGAGACTGTTGGTGCGGGATCCCCTGCACAACCTCCATTTGCGACTTGGGCCGTGGAGGCACAGAAAGCTCCAATATCGGGGGGTTCAGCTGTCAAATAGGCGAGTCCATCAAATCAATGGGTGGTAGAACCATCAGCTCTGGTATCAGAGGAATCACTATGTCGGGTTGTGCCCACTGAAGAGGGGGTAATGTAGAACCCGTTTGTTTCTCAGCACCGCTCAGAGTGTGAGACTTATGTGCAGCTTTCTTGGGAATCAATTTCTTCTCCTTCTCATGCTCTTTCTTCTTCTTCCTCAACACCGACAAAAAAGAAGAAGAAGTCTCTTTAGGAGCCGAACGTTTGGACGGTGTACTCACATCGGGAGCCAACTTCGGACGGGCGGGTAAGGTCGATATTGAGGACTCCGATATTGGTGGAGGCGCCGGTGGTTGGGCATTGGTAGGAGTCTCAGACGACATTTCCCTGGCAGGCAGAGGGGTAAGAGCAGGTTCCCAAAGTGCCACTCGGAGTCTAGAAGCTCTATTTTTTGGGTTTGGTTCGAAAATTTGGCACAGTGACAACAAGTCTCCGGACAATGTGTCTCCCCAAGACACAATATACAAAGGGTGTGACCGTCCTTCAGGGCAAGTTTGCTGCCACAGCCAGCACACCTTTTAAAACACCACACTTTTTGGCCATAAAATAAAGAAGAATTGGTCAAAAGTAAAGAATAAGGGGGGAAAAAACCTCAAATGAGGCAAACAAAAATTTTACCTCAGAAGGAGAGGGGGGTGGCAGGAGGCCGCCTGAGGTAGTGGCACTCCTCAAAACAAAGGGGGTTTTTGTGGGGGTTTTTGGAAGACGATAAAAAGAACGAAGTCAGAGTCCAAAAAGAACAATTTGAAGAACAATTTAAGGAATCCCTCGTGAGAGAAGAACGCTTCGTCACCGACCGGCAGAAAACGAATTGTTAACAGCGCGGTGGTCAGAAGAGAACTGGCGGGATGTTCACACCCCGCCCCTTGAGCACGGGCAGTGGGGTTCCCGCGCATGCCTGGAGGAAGGGCGCGAAAATCCCTTTGTGAGCTTTGTATAGCACCGATTCGGATCAGCGCAGGTGCATAATCCCATGGGTGTGATGCACAGAGACCATGAAGAAGATCAGGAAGAGTACCTGCAAAGAGAAGTACAACATACTTTATATTTTTCTATATTGATGCTAAATCGTTGATCCTGGGATTCTTGCTAATCTCACAATTGCTCTTTCTCAGCCTAGGTAGACAAACAATTTGGAAGCCCTGGCAGTGTGCACATCAAATTTAATAAAACTGCCCTATCCAGACAGCCCCCTTTAGCATTAGTTTCTTTCAGCTGGAATCAGCACAGTGCCCAAAAGAGTCCTCTGATGAAGCTATGCAAGAAGCAGTATTGTTGAAGCTGAAAATAACCTTTTGTGTGTCTCTGTGTATGTGTGTGTATGGTAGGTAGGCAGCTAAAGGATTTTCACCTATGAATTCAGTTGTACTTACCTGGGAACTTTGTGGAGGAGAAGTGGTGTCAGGAGGACTTTCTGGTTTTGGAATGCTATCAATTAGCTTCAGAATACATTTAAGCTTCTCATCAGAAATGTTGAAATAGAGTAATGGCAGCTCACCAGATATTTTGTATCTATTACATAAAGACAAATAACAAAAACAAACAAACATAGTCATGCAAAAGTGCAAACTGAAAACATTAGTCCCAGTGTAAAAATTTAGAAACATACTGAACATTGTATAATTGGCAACAGACTATCTACACTCAAAGAGGATATAGACACACCTATTATGCTATGCAAAAAACACAGGCCTCTCCTAATTAATTACTGGTCCTACACATTTAGCAGGGCACACACTGGATTTGTTCCAGAGTGATCAGGAGCTGGGTGAGTTAGCCTTACTCCCTAGTCATGGACAGATCATTAGGGTTCAGACTTACTACTTCCTTTTTCCTTTGTAGAGGTGATGGACCCTTTAAGATGGTCTTCCACAGGTGCCTGATGGATTCCTGTTGGCACTTGAGGGTTTTCCCACTTTGGTTGCTGATGATTCTGTCAAGGCTCTGACCACTCTCTGGAACAGGGAGATGGCCTGGGCAGTTAACATAATTGTCCCTAATTGCCCCCTCCCCTGAGACACAGCCAACAGTCTCCCTGGTTTACTGGATAGCTGATGGCGATGACATAGGAGGGACAATGGCTAGTGCACCACAGGCAGAAAACTCAGAGCGAGACTAATCAAACAATGCATAGAGCCCATATTAGAGCCTATTCCATGGTGGTGATGACACTGAAAAGCCAGTATCTCTCCTCCATCACTGCATCTGCAAATAATCGTCAAATTGAGCTTTTTTTGTGTTATTCAGGGATTTTTACATCATAACCTGAAGGATTTGGACTCTGACCACACAATGGCCACTGTGATCAATTTGCCACTTACTTTACAGATAAAATCAATCAGATATGCTCTGGGTTAGATGCCAGCATGGATGCATGTTCAGATTATGTACCTTAGGCATCTGCTTGTCTGATTTATACAGATACTTTTCAGCTTGTGGATCCCAAAGATATGGACAAGAACTTGGACAGGCTAGACCTACCACCAGTGTTCTCAACCCTCGCCCTTCCTGGTTGATAGAAGCTGCCTGGGGGCACAGGTTGAGTTGGTAAGGGGAGTGGTAAATGCTTCCTTGAGAGCAGGTATGCTGTTTGTGCTCAAGGAAGGAGTCATTAAACCTATTTGGGGGGGGGGACATCTTTCCCATAACCCTACTATGTTGGAAAATTTCCAGCAAGTCTCCAGTTTTCCATTTTTGGGCAAGGTACTAGAGCAAGTTGTTGTTTCTCAGTTCCAGAGGTTCTTGGAAGACACTAATTTTCTGGATTCATTTCAATCTGGCTTCAGGACAAGATTTGCAAGAGAGACTGCTTTCTTCATCTCTACTGAGAACTACTTAGGGAATATGTGACCTTGCTAGTTCTGCTGGATCTCTCAGCAGCCTTCAATACTATCAACCACAGTGTCCTGCTGAGCTGCCTCACAGCACTGGGAATAAGGGGTACCCTGTTACAGTGGTTCGAGATAAATGGGGGGTATCAGAAGATAATGTTGGAGGATTCATGCTCTGCCCCATTGATCTGTATGGTGCTGCAGGGTTCCATCTTATTCTGCCCCCCTGCTATTTAATATCTATATGAAGCCACTGGGGAGAAGTTTTCAGGAGATATGGGATGTGGTGTCACAAATATGAGAATGATACCCAGCTCCACCTTTCTTTTCCACCTATTTCCAAGGATGCTGTTGATATTCTGTACCAGTGCTTGGAGATGGTAATGGGCTGGTTGAGGGTGAACAAGCTGAGACTTAATCCAAACAAGGCAGAGGTTCTCTAGGTTAGTAGAAAGGCACAGCAGGGACTTGAGATCTTGCCTGTCTTGAATGGCCCCTTGAAAAGCCAGGTTCATGGCTTGGATATTCTGTCTGACACAGCAGTCACCTTAAAAAACCAGGAGGATGTGGTGATTCAGAGTGCTTTCGTTCAGCTGTGGTTGGTGCGTCATAGGCACTTGTTCCTAGTTCAGCAAGATCTAGCCACAGTGATACATGCCTTAGTTACATCTTGACTGGACTATTACAATGCAATCTAATTGGGGCTACCCTTGCAGAATGTTCAGAAGCCACAGCTAGCACAGAATGCTGTGGCTAGACTGCTGGTCAGGGCCAGCATTAACCCCAATACTAGAGTAATTAGATTGGCTACTGAATTGCTCCCGAGCCCAGTACAAGGTCTTGGTCCTGCCAGGGAATTAAGGTCATAGGAAGAACCCCTCCTGATTGTCTCAGCAATCAAAGAAGTATGTCTGGTGGGGACATGAAAGAGGGCCTTTTCAGTGGCAGCCCCACAACTGTGGAATAACCTTCCCAGGGAAGTGTGCCTGGCCCCCTCACTGTTGATCTTCAGGAGGCAGTTGAAGACAGCTTTATTTAGGACTGCATTTGACTGATTTAGTTTTTATTTCTTGGCAGTCCTAGCTGGAGTTTTTAAATTTCTTATATATTTTTTATAATTGCTGTTTAATTTATACTATTTTATTGTGTTTTTCATAATTGTTTTATTTCTATTTTAAACCAATGTTTTAAATACACAAATAAGGTAAATTTTGTTCTTTGATTAAATAATTTAAAGTTCAGATTTCCCAAACTGACTCCATTTATCAGTATTCTTACTAAACAATTTAGCAAAAGAAATAGGAATCCCCTATCTGTGAGGAAAGCTGACAGCAAGAAAATTGATTAACTGAAAAGAAAGCCTCAAAGCTTCAAACACCTCTTTGAAAAGCAAAAACACTTACTTGTTGGCAACATATTATCTAGTGTGCCTACAAAGTTACCTCAATTTTTATTATCAGTTCACCTCATACATTCTACTCCTGATTCCACCTGACCTTTCCCCCTCCAAGTTAAATAAAATATTCTGTTTATTCTTGAACTTTCCAAAGGCTCTCGTGCCATTACAGAAGTAAAACATAAGTAAGGGATTTTGTCTCTTCCCTCAAGTCCCTGGGCTGGGCCAGCATCAAAATATATAATAACATGACAGAGTGGGACAGGCATAGACCAACAATAAGAAAAAAATAGATGTAGTAGCTGCTTAGCAACCAAGAAGAAGAAACAAAGGGAAAACCCTGTTTGTGAGGGAAGGAAGAGGGCAAGATCACCATCGCAAGACTCACTGGAAAACAAAATAATGCTTGGAAAAGTTGAAGGCAGTAGAAAAAGAGGAAGACCCAACATGAGATGCATTGGCTCAATAAATGAAGCCACGGCTCTCAGTTGGCAAGACCTGAACAGGCTGTTAATAATAGGACATTTTAGAGGTCATTAATTAATAATGTCACCTTGAGTCAGAAACGATTTGATGGTGCATAACACACATACACTCACACCTGTACAGCAGCAACTTGCTTCCTACAGCAAATGTTTGGTCCCTTTAAGAATAAACTTTTTGAAACACCAGAAAATGATAAACTGACTTTAGAAATGAGATTAAGCAAAGAGTGGACATTTCAAAAAACATGGAAAAAGTTTTATGATTGGTATAATGTAAATATAATAGAAGATTAGGCAATTATGGCACAATGGACTTGAGAACACAGAAGACAGAAGAATGGAAAGTGATAGAGCGTTTCTATTAATTAAGTAATTGGATATAAGCATATAATGTAACTGTACTCTTGGTATACATGTTATGTGTAGTAGAGTGTCTGTTTGTAGTGTGTAGATTTGTTTGTTGTAGATTATAAAAGAAAAATTAATAAAAGTGTACCCATGGGTACTTAAAAAAAAAGATTTGTATAATCGAACATGATGAAGTATGAAATGTACGCACTGACAAAGGAGAGTGCGGTGGCTCCCCGATGGCCAGGCTCGCGTCTCCCCCCACCGCGCACTCGAGGTGGTGGGGCGAGCCAGCCAGCCTCGTCCCTCCTCTGTTGGCATGGGCAGGGAGTCTCTGAGAGGCTTCTCCTGGGTGGCCGCCTGGGCGGAAGGGCAGGAGAACCCAGGGGGAGAGCCTGAAAGGGCTCCACGGGCCCCTGCTGGCTTGATGGCCTCGGAGGCTGGGCAAGGATGGGGGGGGCTCTGGCTGGCCTCTCCTGCCCGGCCGCCTCAGTGGGAGGGCAAGAGAACGGGGAGGGCTGCAAAGGGCTGCCCAGCCCCTTCTCGGCTCGTATGCCTCGGCGTGCGAGCGAGGAGGGGGTGGGGGTCTCTGGGCAGCAGCTCCCGCTCAGCTGCCTCAGAGGTTTTTCCCTGCGCTGGGCAAGGGAAGTGCGGTACATCCGCTTTCCCCCTCCCTGAGCACAGCCAGGGCCGGCTGAGGGAATCCCCCGTCCCCAAAGAAGGGTGCGCAGCTTCCCAGCCCAGGCCGCACCGAGCAAAGGAAGCGCGACGCATCTGCCTCGGCACCTCTCGCCCGCCGCAACCTTGTCCGTCTCTCCAGTGGCCGCTTGCCGCCCGTTCCAGGGCCGCATGGACCAAGGCGGCGAGGCTCGTCCCTCCCCCCCCCCAAGCCAATGGCACACCACTTGCTCCGAGCAGCAGCCGACGGGCAAATGGCTGAGGAAGTGCATTTTTTCTTGCCACCCCATAGGACGGTGGCCACCCCAAAACACAATTATTATAAGGAGAGATAGGATATAGAAAAATGAACTATATAGTGGGAATAGAATTTTAATTAATGATATTTGTTGTGGAATACAAAGTTAAACAAGGGGGAAAAGGGAACTATGTATCTAAAGATGTAGTGAGCGAGACAATGTCTAGATATTTTACAAATGTATTGCTCTTTTTTTTGTTTTGTGTAATCCTTAAAAAACCAATAAACAATAAACATTTGGGCAAGTAAAAAACAACAACAACAATTCAAAGCATTTAACATTACAAAAACCTTATTTCACCAAATCTTACTTTACTCAAGGCATAGATATTTAGAGAAGGCATGGTTCAGATCCTAAATGGAGCACTTTTAAAGGGCATGTACCATGGGAAGGGTTGTATATTACTCTCCCCATCGTCTCATTCCTAGACAGGGAAGATCATTGTTGTTTTTTCTTCTCCTCCTCCTCCTCTTCCTTTCTTCCTCTTCCTTTTCTTCTTTTTTTGGGTATTTGTGTGTGTGTGTGTGTGTGTGTGTGTGTGTGTGTGTGCCTGGAAGCCATGGATGATTTTTGGCAACCCCTAGTGGGGCTTGGACATTTCAGAGAGGTGGCTTACTATTTCCTGCCTCTGTGTCCAAGCCCTGGTATTCCTTAGAGGTCTCCCATCCAAGAACTTGCCAGGGTCAGCCTTGGTTATCCACAGGTGGGCATAATATTTGACAACGGTGTATATGTGTTAAATCCAGTATTTTTTGGCCTGAACAACAAAATTGATACCTGACATATGAGAAAGGCTATGTAATTTGAGCCTGTGTGCATTTGATTTTATGTGTTCCTTCTAATTAAATATTATGCCAATGGGCAGATAAGCAACACTCTATTTCAGAGAGGTGGCTTACTATTTCCTGCCTCTGTGTCCAAGCCCTGGTATTCCTTAGAGGTCTCCCATCCAAGAACTTGCCAGGGTCAGCCTTGGTTATCCACAGGTGGGCATAATATTTGACAACGGTGTATATGTGTTAAATCCAGTATTTTTTGGCCTGAACAACAAAATTGATACCTGACATATGAGAAAGGCTATGTAATTTGAGCCTGTGTGCATTTGATTTTATGTGTTCCTTCTAATTAAATATTATGCCAATGGGCAGATAAGCAACAGTCTCAGTGATGGGAAAGGTGGGCAGAGCAGGAAGCTGAAATCTTTTCCCTCCTCTATATATAGGGTGAAGACAGTCTGACTCAGAAATTTAAAAATTCATAAACAGTATAAGAACTCATACTTAGGCATCCTTGCATCTGTTACAACCATTGCTCTGCTCAGTTCCATTTTCACATCTAGAGGCTGCAAGATATGTTGAGATGAAGACCGCAAATTACGAGCCTCCTCCCAGTTTTCATCTAAAAGCAAGAAAGTCATTAAGAGAAACTCTAACAGTGCAACACAGACTCGTTTACCCAAAAGATACATATCAAAGTTTTTCTTGGTTGTAGAAAGTGTAAATCAAGTCATAGACAGCTTATGGCGATATGTAGGGTTTTAAAGGCAAGAGACATTCAGAGGTGGTTTGCTATTGCCAAATTCTTTTAATACAGAATAAAACAACAAAGGGATTCTAAAAATGAATCGCTGTGCTTTGAAACCAGAGATGTCTTCCACTCAGAAAAGCTATTCCAGCCATCTCTCTGTTTGCTATTGCCTGCCTCTGTGCAGAGACCCTGGACTTCCTTGGTGGTCTCCCATCCAAATACTAACAAGGGCTGACCCTGCTTGGCTTTCGAGATCTGATAAGATCAGGCTTGTGTGGGCCATTCAGGTCAGGGCAGGTTTTTCCTAAGAGTTGTTGTTGTTCAGTCGCACAGTCGAGTCTGACTCTTCACGACCCCATGGACCACATCACGCCTGGCCTTCCTGTCTTCCGCCGTCCTCTGAAGTTTGCTCAACTTCATGTTCATTGCATCTATGACACTGTCTAACCATCTCATCCTTTGCCGTCCCCGTCTTCTTTGACCTTCAATCTTTCCCAGCATCAGGGTCTTCTCCAGTGAGTGCTCCCTTCTCATTTGGTGGCCAAAGTATTTGCGCTTCAGTTTCATTATCTGGCCTTCCAGGGAACAGTCAGGGTTGATTTCTTTTAGGATTGACTGATTTGATCTTCTTGCAGTCAAAGGGACTCTCAAGAGTCTTCTCTTTTGCGCTCTCCTCTTTTACTCTGAGCAAGAGGCTCTTTAGATCCTTTTCACTTTCAGCCATTAGAGTGGTATCATCTGCATATCTGAGGTTGTTGATCTTTTCCCCAGCAATCTTAATTCCCGCTTGTGATTCATCCAGGCCAGCATTTCGCATGATGTACTCTGCATATATATTAAATAAGCAAGGTGACAATATACATCCTTGTCGTACTCCTTTTCCTATGCTGAACCAATCAGTTGTTCCGTATCCGGTTCTAACTGTCGCTTCTTGGCCCTTATACAGGTTTCTCAAGAGACATGTGAGGTGGTCTGGTACTCCCATCTCTTTAAGGACCTGCCATAGTTTGTTGTGATCCACACAGTCAAAGGCTTTAGCATAGTCAATGAAGCAGAAGTAGATATTTTTCTGGTACTCTCTTGCTTTCTCCATAATCCAGCGAATGTTGGCAATATGATCTCTCGTTCCTCTACCTCTTCGAAACCCAGCTTGTACTTCTGGTAGTTCTCTATCCACGTACTGTTGAAGCCTAGCTTGTAGGATCTTGAGCATGACCTTGCTAGCGTGTGATATGAGTGCAATTGTGCGATAGTTTGAACATTCCTTGGCGTTGCCCTTCTTTGGGATTGGAATGTATACTGATCTTTTCCAATCCTGTGGCCACTGTTGCGTTTTCCAAATTTGCTGGCAAATGGAGTGCAGAACTTTAACAGCATCCTCTTCTAAGACTTTGAATAGCTCAGCTGGGATACCATCACCTCCACTAGCTTTGTTGTTAGTAATGCTTTCTAAGGCCCATTTAACTTCACATTCCAGGATGTCTGGCTCGAGGTCAGTGATTATACCGTCGTGGTTGTCAAGGACATCGAGGTCTTTCTTGTATAGTTCTTCTGTGTATTCTTGTCATCTTTTCCTTATCTCTTCTGCTTCTGTTAGGTGCCTACCATTTTTGTCCTTTATCATGGCCAGCTTTGCATGGAACGCTCCCTTGATTTCTCCAATTTTCTTGAAGAGATCTCTAGTCCTTCTCATTCTATTGTTTTCCTCTATACAATCTCCTCACTCCCAAACCCTCAGCTTGGGCCTTGGTTGCCTATGTGTCTCATCTCACACAGAGTGAGTCAGAGGATGATGCATATGATACTACCTTTAAAGTCTTTGCTGAAAAGACGGTCCCCAATTAGAAATCAGTTGCTGTCCTGGAGCGAAGTTCAACCTCATCTAGACTTGTTACCTTCATTTTTGTCAGCACACAACAGCACACAAGTTTCACAACTGGCCTGTTTATCCAACAGGCTCTTCTTTCACATCTATGCTTCAGTATCTTTTTTTTAGGGGGAGTTACTTTTTTTAAAGCTTGGTCACTGCCTGGCACCAAGCTGAAGGGTTCGGGGGATACAACACAAAATCCCATTCAGCCTATTTTTTGTAAAAAAAATCAGTATTTATGAATACTTACTATGTTTGCTATAAAGAAGCTGTATGCTGCTGAGCTGGATGTCAAATTTATCATATGCTCTAGCCATAATTTCTTCAAGAGTGCTTGCTTTGATTTTGACATCTAACAAGTTAGATCGGCTTTTACTAGTCATCTTAAGAAAAAAAGAAGTTAGTCTTCAAAAGTTCAAAGAGTTTCTTAAAATACATGATCAAGTATTTACCATAAACTATTTTTGAAAAAATCCATCCCCAATTAAATAAAAACTATAAAAATACATTGACCTAGTATGACATCCTATCTTCAGCATAGGACAGTTCAAAGGAATATTTTGAGGAATAATAGAATATAAATAGTATCTCTAGTTCTATTATTCACCTGCATACTGTCTACTATCAATAACCATAGTGTTAAAGATTTCCATTCCAAATCTTTCTTTCATTTAAAGCTTTTCATCATGTAAGGAAATGTTTAGAAACCAAAGAATATAACCTTTACAGAATGCAATTAAAACCAAAATACTGAAACTAAATGAGAAAAAAAAATCTGTTTTTTAAAATGAATGTTGTAAATAAAACATAATAAATATGAGATCATATATTGGTATTTGAAAGTTTTACCTTTAAGTGACCGAGATCCAAGAGTAATTTATCAGATGTTGGTTCATAGAATCCATTTTTTGGAATAATGACATAGGAAGCCATAAGGTTTATTTTTAAATCTAGAACTTTCTGCGTTTCTATAATGTACACCAACCCTAGAAAAATGTCAAAATACAAACAATCTGCACTGATGACCATAAGAACACAACAAAGAACTGTGTTTAAACTGAATTATGAGTGAAAAAAAATCAGCACAACAAAGACCTTGTATACAGTTCAAGATTGTTTAATCACATTCAAATGCCATGGCCAACATGCAGAAGTATTCTTTAGGGCCACTTAACACATATCACTTTTCCAAGCCAAGATACTATTTCTGCACAGAGAATCTATGTAAGTCATGATGTATAAACTTCACAAAAGTTTTTATTGTACTATAACTACACTGTCCTAACTCATACTTTCCCCCCAACATTTACCTGTTGCTGTCTTCTCACGAAATTCTTCCAATTTCATCAAAGTTGCTGAGGTTAGTTGCTCCAAACGAACATCACTAGGGGGTCGGAAAAAATCCACTAAACTGTTTACAGTCATCTGAAAAGAGTATAAAAGCAAAGGCATATATGTAATCAATGTTAAAAGCAAAGGCATATATGTAATCACACACACACACACACACACACACTAATGAAATAGGTTTCTACTTACAGCATCATATATTATTTCCAAAGGCTGCGATTCTACTCTTAACTTCTGATTTGCACTCTCATCTAAAGGATTGGTCTCAAACATTATGGTGAAGAGTGAAGTATTGTTTTCTGAATGGACTGTTCGAGAAGACAGTAAACAGGGTATTACTCTTCCTTGAGCCATTCCCTGTACTTCAAATGCACTTACACTTGATTCAAATCTGTATAGAGTATAAAATAAAAGTATAAAAACCTATGTGCATTGCTTTACTACAAAAATACTCCCTCCCAGTTTTACTTTTTATGCCCCTGATTTAATTAATAGCTGCTAGTATTTAAAGCAGAAAAGGGACATCTGACTTTTGTGCTATTAATCACAGTTCCTAGTATAACAGCATACATGGAAAATCTCACAATATTTGGAATAATCAGCTGTTTAAAATTTCATCTTCTATTATATTTAGCAACATCCATGCTATTAGTTCCTTGTATAGAATGCTAACTAGGATGAAAGGCAAAAGCAGAAAAGTTGAAAAAAAGTGTAGGAAAATAAAACATACTCTAATATCCTAAAGCCAAAATTCTGGCAAGCATTGTGGCAAGCAAAATCTGCTTCCTCACCAGCTTTGTGGCCTCATGGGCCCTTTAGCTCCTCTGCCTACAGTTCTTCATACTTCAAAAGCTTATTTATATCTCTCTTCCTGCCAACAGTATTAAATCCTAAGTCCTAAATTGGAGAATTGGCTTACAGGTGAATTTTCCTTCTACATGTTTGCTAAATAGGACTCCAAACGTTAAATGACTGACTCTATCCACCAGGTCTTTAGAAGACTACCTAGCCATAGAGGTGATAAATGACACCTCTTGGTTCCTACCCAGAGCCTGTTACTACTGACATAGAAATAAAGTATCACAGACAGACTTATTCCTAACTAGCAGGAAAACCATAGGAAGCTCCCAAGCAGAGTCAGAACCACTTCCTGGTGAACAAACAAGGAACAAACTCACAGGTAAACAACATCACTGCTCCTCCATATTTAACTCCACCTAATGATTCAGATGCTGGGAATAAGGAAGCAATACCATAAACGTCCAAGAAAGAATTTGACTCAAGGTTCTGATACACCTACTAAAGGATGACTGAACTGAAAAAAACAAATATTGATTCTGTAGCGTTTGGCTAAAACGTGGAAAGAAAACTAGACAGATGTGTTTCTTCTTACATTGGGATTCTAGACTGAGTTACACAAGAGGCAATAGCTCCCTCGAAGGAAGAGTTGCCCGAAACACTAGAATAATACAACTCTATCAGAGATTCAAAGCATTTGTTACCCCATAACCGGCCCCGGTCTGGGAGATGTGTTTCTGAAACATAAACATATATGTCCCTCTATGACTTCTCAGGCCATATGATGTCTGACACTGTGGAAATATCAGGCTACAGGCAATCAAAAAGCTGACTCACAGGAAATACCCAGGTTCTCCTGGGAACCCTAACACTCCCCTGACAATGGCTCTATGCTTTGGCTTCCTGAGGATTCATCTCAGTTCTAGCAATGATTAATGATCGAGGCTTGCAAGACAATAGTCAGCCTTCCAGGATAACCCAGGAATCTGCTTTACAAAGCAAACTTCTCTGGAAAACTAATTATAAGCAGGAGATAGGGCCATCAGACATTGACTGGCCTTTGTCAACAGACATTGATCAGCTTTGCCACTCACGTAATTCAATTCTCCCACCCAAATGTGCCCCACCCCCACCCTCCATTAACCAATCTGGTACCTATCATAAGGCCTAGGAATAACCAATTGGATCTGGCACAGTGCAAACTTCCAAAGAGGGATTTATTCTGTCCGTATTCCTGAAGAATGTATGCTAATCGATCCCTTGCTCTGTTCTGGGCATCCACACTAGGCAAAACTGCTAACTTTGATTATTTAGGACTTTTTGGCCTCCAACTACCATGCCAATACTCCTTCCACTGGGGAAAGTTTTAGTTTGAAAGGTTTCAGTAACTCAAAATTCCTTCAGTGGAACTCTGTAAGCCTGAAACAATTAAGTAGATCATTTGCTATAAAATGTTGCAGATAAGTAAGGATGAGACACTGAAAACATTGGTCTCTTTCCATAAGAACATAAGAAGAGCCCTGCTGGATCAGACCAGTAGTCCATCTAGTCCAGCATCAAGTCTCACACAGTGGCCAACCAGTTCCTCTGGAGGGCCAACAACAGGGCATAGAGGCTGAGGTCTTCCCATGACATGCTTCCTGGTTCTGGGATTCAGAGGTTTAGTGCCTCTGAATGTGGAAGTTGCCCTTAATCACTATAGCTAGTAGCTATTGACAGATCTATCCTCCATGAATCTATCCATTCCCCTTTTAATCCTGTGGCCATCACTGAGCATGCTTGTGGGGGAGGGTGGGATATAAGTGTAATAAAATAAATAAATAAAAATAAATACATCCTCTAGCAGCAAATTCCACATTTTAATCACTCTCTTGTGTAAAGCAGGCAGGTAAAGTAGGGCAGGGAAATAATGACTATACATTGCTAAGCAATAAAGCTGAGTTGTGTTGAACTTGATCATTTGATCTAAATCCTTTAATATAAAAGGGAGATTTTATATCCACAAGTGAAGAACAAGTTTTGTGTGTGCCTTACTCTAACACAGGAGCCGAAGAAAAGAGGGCAAATCCTATGGTCATTGTGCGAAGTTTTTATACTTCTAGAATAACTGGGCCTCTCTTTCTTATCAAAGTGAACAGCACTACCATCAGCTCCACTTAATTGGGATCTGTAAGCCTGTCTAGAAATGCAATCCTCAGCAGAGTTACACTGTTCTAAACCCAATGACTTTAATGGACTTTGAAAGCTGTAACTTTGTTTAGAAGTGTACTGTAGTTATTTTATTTCTATACTTTATCACATATCCCTGCACTCAAACCAATTTACAAATCATTAAAACACAAAACAAAACAGTAAAAACAATGTACCATCCATATGCATAATACAACAAAATTAGCAAGATTAAAGAACCATAGAAATACCTGTTAAAACCAACCAATCTTTTAATAGTCACATCATCCAAAAGTCAAATGAATGAGGAATACCCTACATCCCTTATGAAAAGACAAAATGAAAGAGGCTTTCCACAATTTCCCTCAGGAGAGGATTCCAGAGAGCAGGTGCCACGACAGAGAAGAACCAAACTCTCACTGCTATTCATCTTACCTGATGGTAAAATGGTACTGTAGGGGTGTACATTCGGCTACAGCCAAACCAAAAAGAGAAACAGAGATCTGTATACAGAGAATACAGAGATCTGTATACAGAGAACACAGAGATCTATATTCAGCTACCGGTATAGCTGAACCCCAAAAAGCTGATATTATTCACCTTTTTTCGGGTTCTTTTTGTTATACTGAAAAAAGGTCTCAATTAAACCTAACAGCCTGAGCTGCAAGTCAGCTGTTGGGTTTAAATGCCTTTCTTTCCCTCCCCGATCTCGGGGAGGGAAAGAAAGACATTTTAAACATGCCTGGGTTCCTCTCCTGATCTTCTCCAAGTACCCCATGGCTACGGGGCACCTGGAGAAGATCAGAAGGGGAACCCAGGCATGTCTGCATGCCTGCCCTCTGCTTCCCCAGCCTGCCCACAAATTTAGCCTGTACATGGGCATTTATCGGGAGAAACAGTCCTTCAGGTGTGTTCCAGGCCAAGAAAGGCTTTAAAAATTAACATCACTACCTTGAATCAAGCTCATAAAAAACTGGCAGCCAGTGCAACTGGTGCAGAACAGGCTGTATATGCGCAAGTTGAGCTGCCCAATCCACAGGGTAGAAATACTTTCTGTCAGCTGAAGTTCAAGAGTTGTCTCATTTACAGCACATAGGAACAATCAGATTTTTCCAGGCCACATACTAATGTCAGACAGTTGCTGGTGGTGTGTTCTCAAAAGCAAGGAGGAGGAGATTGGATTTATAACCTGCCCTTCACTCAGAGTGGCTTACAAACTCCTTTCCCTTTCCCTCCCCACGACAGACACCCTGTGAGGTAGGTGGGGCTGAGAGCACTCTTTCAAGAACTGCTCTTTCAAGGACAGCTGTGCCAGAACTATGGCTTGCCCAAGGTCATCCAGCAGCTGCAAGTGGAGGAGTGGGAAATCAAACCTGGTTCTCCCAGATTAGAGTCTGCACACTTAACCACTACACCAAACTGGCTCTCAAGAAGCGTGAGGGTGGAGGCAGCCAACTGTTTTACTCAATTTCACCCTTCTGCCCTCATTACTACAGTCTCCATTCCACATAGCTTTCATATACATAGGTCCCATGATCTCCAGCACAGCCTTTTTGATGGTGAAAGAGAACATCTCTTTTTTGCCAGCAGAACGTATGATTGAATCCAACCAACGGTGTTCCATCAATGAAACTCCAATTCCAAAACACACTTAGCAATTAAAGGCTGAACACACAGTCGTACTGGGTCAGAGTCCTCAAGACAAAATCTAGTTGTGTAGAATAAAATTGAATTCAGATTGTCACATGTACAGTCAGCAAAAACAAGGAAAAGATTACGGCTTCAACTTGAAGTTTTCATTGTTGCTCTGGTGATGTCAATGATTTATCATGCAAAGCTAACAGAAGTTAAAAGTAATAATGCTGGCGAAGCTCTAACTAAAGAAACTTGAACTGTGAGGAGAATGTCTGAGGAAAATCTGAACTCTGCTTTTGAGAACTGTATGTATTAAGAACTTTTGTTTACAGAAATGTACGTGTTTTTCCCCTGAGCCCTCAAATGGAAAATTCACACAAATGAATGTAAGGATGAGCTATCTTTTTAAAACTCTGCACACTCAATCAGATCTCCAATGGCCAATCAGAAGCCCTTCTGGGCAAAAGTCCCACCTATCCCAAAGTCAGGCGGCAACATCACAGGAAGGCCTCAGCCTATGTGCCCTCTTATTGGCCCTCCAGAGGAACTGGTTGGCTACAGTGTGAGACAGAATGCTGGACTTGATGGTCTGATCCAGCAAATCTCTCATGTTCTTGTTTTCTAAAAACATTTGTCAGGCCCCCAAAAAGGTGTCAGCAGGCACCATGGTACCTATAGGCATCATGTTGGGGACCCCTGACTTAATTGAACAGATGGTAGGAACGACTCCTCCACTCTCCCTGATAGTGATATATTTTTCTGGCTGCTAGACTGAATGCTGCATTAACACCAGAAATACAAGATAGCTTTTTGGGAGTTCCCTTTTCAAAATGCTGGTGTTTGTCCAATACTGGGAAGATAGGTACCCTGGCTCATCTAGTTACTGAATGTTCCAATTTCAGTGAGGAGAGACAGAGACAGACTCCTCCATTCCTGTCTTCAGAAAACTCATGCTTCAAGGCAGAAGACTGACATCAGGAACCTTCCAACTGCCCTATAGATCATTCTTATAGAAGAATGACTGCAAACAGCTGTGGCAAATAGACATACCCATGGGTGCAACTGGATGCAAACCTACTATTTCAAAGTACTAAGCAGCCTACAACTTACAACAAAAATTTTAAAATCCAAATTTTATAAAATAAGAATTAGAGTCAACAAAATATTACCTTATTGCTTCAGCACCAGGTCGCTGTGTTATCGCTGTACATAAATCAATTAATGCAAGTTTTATCAGCTCGGGCTTGTCCACGTTTTCCCTTACTGACACCTTCATGCTTAACAGCTTTACATTTAGCTTTATGGCTTCATACTGCATAAATTGAAAACATGTCAAGAATGCTCAAAATATTTTTTGTAAATGTACAGTTGAATAATCACAACTTTTATAATGTGAAGTTCAGAGTAAACTGCAATATTTATCTGTTCAACATGTAAAATATTCCATATTGTTATTTGAAGAATAATAATTTTTATCCTATTAACAAAGCAATCCTAAACAAGTCTTCTAAGAATGCTACTCAGGTCCATTCAATGGAGCTTACTCCTAGGAAAGTGTTTTTAGGATTCCACTGTCAAATTTTCAACAAACAGAATTCAAAAATACACTTGGTCTCTTATTCATACACACAGAAAAGGGGGAGGAGGACAGAACTAATGGAACAAGGCTGAAGAAGAACAAATAAAAAACTATCACCTAATACTGAGGGCCAGTTACATCATTATTGTTTCTGCACTCGCACTTTAAGATTAAAGTGCAAAACAAAGCTCTGCCCCCACAAGTATTTATTGCATTAGAACAATCAGATGAGAACAGATACACATGTTCAAGATGTACCTGTTGCACTTGCATCTGACTTTTCTAACATGATCAAGAATTGTAGCTTGACAAGTTTTTTGATCTTCACGAACTTTTACGAACTCAAGTTGAACTGTGACTGTAATATCAATACACATCCAAACTATGACAAATTCTCTCTGATCCCCCCTGGAGTGGGGCGTATTCTGCTAAAGCTGAACATTACAGAGCCTTGGTAAGCAGTTCATTACTAGCCTGTGTGCTCATGCCAAGCCGTAACTCTTTATCTTGTCAAAGGCTTTCACGGCTGGAGTTCATTAGTAGTTGTAGATTTTCCGGTCTGTACGGCTGTGCTCTTGGCATTGTAGGACCTGTTTCGCCAGCAGCTGTGACTGGCATCCTGAGAGGTATAACACAGAAAGATGGAGTATTCTCTATGTCAAGGTGAGAAGAAAAATGGTAGGCAGGTAATTTATATCTTCTCAGGAAGGTAGGGTAGGGCTGAGTCATTATCTTGTAGGAGTTCCCCAGGCTATGACATGCTAATGTGTTTATGAATTTCAATGGCTTTCCTGTGTAATCTGACATAGTAATTGGAAATGTTGTCCAGCATTTCAGTGTCTTAGAATAAGATACTGTGTCCTGTTTGAGTTAGGCTATGTTCAGCCACTGCTGATTTTTCAGGTTGGCCAAGTCTGCAGTATCTTTTATTCTTGTCTGGATGCAATGTTGTGTGGTCCCGACGTAAACCTGCCCACAACTGCAGGGTATGCCATATACTCCTGCAGAAGAGAGGGGGTCTCTTCTGTCTTTTGATCATAGCATCTGTTGTATTTTTAAAAACGTTTTATTCGTTTATATATAGAAAGGGGGAAAAGAAAGAATACAGAGTTATATATATTTAAAAAACCAATTTGACATTCTGCATGAAAATCTTCTCCTAAAAGTTTCACAACTATTCTTATTGTTCTTCATTTAGTCTTAGTTTCTCAGTACTTATGTTTTATCCAGTCATAGAACACCCTCCATGGTCCCATAAATTCTTCCATTTTTCCTTTTGGTATATTTGTTATTCTGTCCATTTCAGCACATTGCATAATCTTCATTATCAAATTAAGTGTTGGGATTTTCAATGTCCTCCATGTTGTTGCGAATAAGATTCTAGCTGCTGTTATAACATGTAAAATAAAGTATCTATGGTTCTTATCTAAGTCATCTGGTAAACAGTTTAACAGAAATATTTCTGGTTTAAAAGCTATTCAACACTGATTATGAAAGAGTATGTACTCCAAACCAGTATTTCCGAACCTTTTTACATGTCCACCACATATGATAGTATGATCCAACATGATTATTATATTTCCAGCATCTGTTATTCAAGTTTTTATACATTTTAGCTAACCTATCTGGGGTTAGGTACCATCTATAGAACAATTTATACAAATTTTCTTTAAACGAAACAGATTTAGTCAACTTGATATTCACATTCCATATTTTACTCCATTGTGACAAGTCTATGTTATAACCTAGATTTTGCATCCATTTAATCATACATTCTTTAACTATTTCATCCTGCATTTTCAATTGCATCAGCATACCATATATTTTCTTAATATGTTTCTCTCTTGAAGTACATAATAATGCACCTTGTTCTAAAAAAAATCAATCTGTCTGTTTATCCTTACTGTGTCTAGATTCCACTTGTACTCTAGTCCACCAATCTAAATTTATTCCCCTTTTCTTTAATTCTTCCTGAGATTTTAAAGTATTTCCATCATCTAGCAATTCTGTGTATCTGATAACTGTTTGTTTTGAAGTCAATCTTGGGTGGAAAAAAGCTTCCACTGGAGATACCCATCTTGGAATTTTAGTATATATCATCAAACTTATCTTTTCCCAGGTTGTCAATAATGATCTTCTTATCAAATGATTTTAAAAATATTTATGTCCAGAAGCTTTCCCATACTATAGGAACGTGGCCACAGTTTGTTGAATACTTTTTAATAGGACCACCCAAATTGACCTCAGAACATTCTGGAAACACCAGAACCCTTCATCAGAGTCATAGATCCAGAGGAGTTAGCCGTGTTAGTCTGTTGCTGCAACGCAGTTAAAAGCCTAGTAGCACCTTTAAGACTAACAAACTTTATTGTGGCATAAGCTTTCGAGAAACACAACTCTCTTCATCAGATGCATGGAGGGTATGAAGAAACTAGCCAGAGATATATAGGTGGTAAGGGGAGGGGGGAGAGGATGCAGAAAGTGCCATGTAAATGCAAAACTGTTGCAAAAGTCATGAAAAAGGTAGAATGCACAATTGGCTGGGTGTGACCCCTTCGTTCTATAGATGAATCTGAAGGGAATACCTGAAAGGCAAGCTACTTCTGGTAATGAGATAAGCATCCAAAGTCCCTATTCAATCCAAGACATATAAATTCCAATTCAGCAGCTTCCCATTGGATTTTGGTTTTGAAATATTTCTGTTGAACTATGGTGACCTTTAAGTCCTTGATGGAATGTCCTGGTAGATTGAAATGTTCTCCTACTGGTTTCTGGATATTGCCATTTTTTATGTCGGATTCGTGTCCATTTATTCTTTTGACCACCTAGCAGTTCGAAAGCAAGAAATTGCAAGTAGATAAATCGGTACCACTTTGGTGGGAAGGTAACAGTGTTCCGTGCGCCTCAGCGTTTAGTCATGCCAGCCACATGACCACATCTTCAGACAGTGCTGGCTCTTCGGTTTGAAAACAGAGATAAGCACTGCCCCCTAGAGTCAGATTCGACTGGCTTTCGAGCAAAGGAAACCTTTACCTTTTTATTCTTTTGTGTAGAGGTTGGCTGGTTTGTCCTATGTACAGAGCAGAGGGGCATTGTTGGCACATGAGAGCATATATCACATTGGAGGATGAGTAGCTGTAAGAGCCAGAGATTGTGTAGTTGATGCCACTGGGTTCTGTAATTGTATTTTCTGGGTAGATACGTGGGCAGAGTTGGCATCTGAGTCTGTTGCAGGGTCTGGTTCCTGTGTTGGTGGTTTCGGTAGATGGTTCATGGTTGTTAGTGAGAAGTCGTTTGAGGTTGGGGAGCTGTCTGTAGGCAAGGAGAGGTCTTCCACCCAGGGCTCGTGAGAGAGAGAGGCATCATTTTCTAGGATGGGCTGCAGATCACTGATGATATGTTGGACTGGCCAGTTTCTCCGTACCCTCCGTGATGTGTTTCTCGAAAGTTTATGCTACAATAAAGTTTGTTAGTCTTAACATTGCTACTGGTCTTTTAACTATTTTTCTTCATCAGACTGGTTGTTACAAAATTTAAAATGACAGAAAGGTGGGAAAGTATGACATGGGGAAAATGCACATTAAACTTATACTGAAACAAAATGTTCAGTTCTGTCATTACCAGTATCTGAAGAAGAGATCAGTGACTTAAGAAAGCTCATACCCAGCCACAAGTTTTGTTGAGTCTTTATGGTACTATGCACCCCAAATGTGAGGAGATGTGAGGTTTCCCTCCAGAGGTATAGCTTAGTGGTTCAGCCCCCAACCCAAGCTATGGGCTGGAAATGCCCAGTATAAAGTTCAGTGTATCAAGGAACATTCATCACATTTTTCTCCCACCCATCTTCTAAGCCTTATTTATCGATATGTTTGTATTCCACATTTTTAAAAAAGTTTATTTTTATTACCATTTTTGCCAACAAACAAAACAGAATATAAACAGAGCAACAGTGCCATAGATCAGTCCAGAATCATAAAAGCAATACAAGGAAAATTAGGAACAGTGGGTGCATTCAGATGGGGCATTTATGTCGGTATAGATGCCAGTTGGAATCGGTGTACTTATGGGCGATCACACGGTGAATATCCGCCTTCCGTCCCTAACCATTGCAAACAGCCTTTAAACTGTTGTATTCTGCTACTAGGTCCCCAAGTGATGGTATCCTAAGTGCACTGGTTCCAGCCGCATTATCCCCGTCTGATCACTCTTCGCCAGTGTCTAGCTACTTCCGTTCAGAAGCCCAAGGCTTCCACTTTTTGGCCGCCATTTTTTTTTAGTAGGCGATGTGTGCTTGGGCGAAGCTTCGCCCCGTTGTTCATAATAATAATTTTTAATATGTGCCTAGTGTAAGGCTTTAGACAAGTCCGGGACCTCACGGAGGCCAGTTTCGGAGTAAAAATTTAAAGGGACGTCTTTGCTTCAGGGCATGCTTTTCGGGACGGGGTGTTCTGCGCCTGCGCAAAGATCTCAACTCTGTGGATGGCTGCCTATGAAATATGTGCCTAGTGTAAGGCTTTAGACAAGTCCGGGACCTCACGGAGGCCAGTTTCAGAGTAAAAATTAAACAATTAATAATTACTATTAAGGGGGTTGATAAAAGGAGAATTGGAACTGCTAAATCTTATCAGAATATTTAGGGAAAGCTGAGGAGAACAGAGAACTTTAAAAAATGAAGCATAGCTGATGACCATCTGTGGGTGGACAGCTAAAGAGCAGATCTATCTTTCCATCAGCGATCTCTTAGCATTGGAACCTATGGAATAAGGAGTCAGTGTCTCTGAGCCCACAAAAAGTGTTTTTCCTTCACGGCTGAGTACCTAATCCGGCACACACATCTTCTGGGATAGCTTAAAGGTCTTCC